TCCCTCATACGGATATTCAGGTTCAGCCAGATCTATCGTACGAGGAGCGACCGGTAACTGTACTAGACCGTCAGGTCCGTCGGCTCCGGAAGCGAGATATTCCCCTTGTACGTATTCAGTGGGATCGCCACGGAGCTACAATGGAGGAGGAATCTGATATTCGCGCTCGTTTTCCAGATTTTCAGTTTTGATGTACATATTCCTTTATCCTATGTACATAGTTCATGTATATCAGTTATGTTTTGAATTTCCGAGGACGAAAATTTTGTAAGGAGGGAGGATTGTAATACCCCGATATTTTATCGGTATAAATTATGTTTTAATTCTGATATAATAATGTTAACGTTTATTATTTTCGGAATTAATTATTTTCAGTCGAGATTACCGAAATCTATTTTCGACGTACCGTTTACGTTCGAAATAATTTTGGTAATTAAAGCATTATGTTTAATTAATAATTAAACATAAATTAAAGTGATTAATTAATGTTAATCATGTTAAGGGCATAAAAGCCGTCCAAAGATATGTCAAAGCCGAAGGTATATGTTAGGCTTCCAATTTCATCCTAAATTTTCCTTAAGTCTTAAGAATTTATTTCCTCCCCACTTTAGCATGAGCACGTGGCAAGTATTAAGTGAGGCAATTGGTGATTACTCACCACAAGTTATGCCTTGATGTGGCAAATGGCAATAGCCTAAGAAGGCCACGCCATCACACCATCATCTCCCTCTCAATCGTCCATCTTTATAAATAAGCTTAAGATTGAGAAATTTTTCCACCTTTATCTCACGTATGCAGCCATACCCCAGCAACCTTAATCTCTAAACTCAGCACTAAATAGCTTAGTATTTTATCATAAGAGTTCCATAATTTTCGCACGGCAAACCGAAGCAAAGTACGGCGTACACGCGGAAGCTAAAGGAGGTCGCAATCGTTTGATCATTCCGACGAACACCTGTGAAGGTATCTTCCTTCTCATGTTAGAATCATGTTAGTAGAGTTATTTTAAGGTTAATTGTTCGGAGGATTTTCAGAAATTCTTAAGAAAATTCATGTTGAACTCGGTTAGGGCTTGTTAGTTCAACACCGGGTTAAGTTCAAATTCTTTCAGCAAGTCCCGAGCGTTTATCGGTTGTTTAGCCTTTATTCAGTTTATCATGTTCAGTAAGTTCAGATATGTCGAGGCAAAGTGAGGTTTTGTTGATAAAATGGCCCGAGCCGTCGCCAGCGCCTATCGCGTGGCCTCGGGTGGCCTCGGGCCGTGTCTTGTTGCCTACAGTAATAACTATGTTCGTTCGTGTGATCATGTCTTAAATTGCCTCACATTAAAGTTTAAGTCAAGTTGTTCTGAAGTTGCCGAGTAAAAAGGAGTTGTGGCCGAGAGACGGCGTATAGCCGTCGGCGG